AACGTATATACGAACAAATTGATTTTTATTATTACTTCGATACAATTTTGCATTTATATTATTTCCATTGATTTTATACAATGAATTATGATTTTTCAGTGGCTCGGTTTGGGCATCATGGCGATAGGTGTATGGGCATGGACGGAAAAGGACACATTTAATAATTTGTCCCGCCTCACGAACGTTGCACTCGATCCAGCATTTATACTCATTCTAGTCGGCAAGTATTCTATATAGAGTAATATTATATATATATATATATATAATATTACTCTTTAACTTTTTATATTCTGTTCTCTCTTTGAATTTCATATAGATGTAACGAGAGGATTTAAAATATTCTACAATCTTCCTCTCACCATTTCGAATAATCCAAACGCGTATGCAACGCACTTCAACTTTGAGTTTTAATCCTTTGCTAGTCGAGTGGCCATTGGAATCACCCCGAGTTCGTTTTGAAAATTTTAATGCTCTACTTTGCCTCTACTGATTCGATTGGCTATTAACAAAAGGAAAAAAAAAGAAGGAAAAAATTAAAAAAGAAAAAAAAAAGAAAAAAAATAAGAATAATGAAAATATGAAAAAAAAAGAAAAAAGAAAAGTAAAAAAAAAAAGAACGAAAAGTAGAACAAAGTTTCGCGGGTTATTATCTACTTCTTTTTTTTTTTTTTTTTTTTTTTGTCGATCAATTATATCTCTTTATTTCCTTTTATGTACCTACCTAATTAGATAATTATTGAAGGCAAATTTTAACGCGAGTAGGTAAAAAGAAAAAGAGAGAGAGAGAGAGAGAGAGAGACAAAGAAGTTAATATTTTTTTATTGTAAAAAAGAAATTAAAAAAAAAAAAAAAAGAATATCGAAAAGCCTCATTGTAGGATAGAAATAATGAAGTAGTTTCAAAGGCAACGTTAGGATTTCGACGTCTATTGAAACGCATCCTACCGATTATTGTAGGAACGATATCAGAAACGAGTCAGCACTATAACTAGTTCATGATCAGTCATAGTAATCCGAATTTACGAAGGAACTTACTTCTGAATCATGCGCTTTAACGTAGCCAGAGTTCAAATGAGAGAATTGTTTTGCAGCCCCGCTTTCAATGGATTTACTCCTAGTACATAGACACATACTAATACCCTTTCTCCCTTCCCCTCCTCTATTTCTCTCTCTCTCTCTTTACTCTCCCCCGTACGTTTGTTGATTCATTGAATCAATCATTATACCGATCACACCGATTTCCGTATAACTAACATGGTTACAATCGTAACGAGTAAACTATAAATATTATTAATTGACTTCGATAGATCGATATTTATGAACGATCGGTCAAATATATCTATATGTATAATTATTATTGGAACAAATTAATTAACTTGTTCGCGTCCCACATCACATTTTCCCATCCTATCTCATCCCTCTATTTCATCCTTGACAATAGATTCCGTATTATTTTTCCTATGGAAAATTCATTGAACGATTAAAACTATTTTCTACGATATTAAATGTTGCCAAATGTATTGAACATTAGAGAACGTAATAATCGTCAATATATATATATATATATATATATATATATATATATATATACCTATATATTATTTTTCTCATTAAATAATGGACAAGTGTTGTTAACGATGAAAATAATTGTAGAATCATTATATTGATTTTAGAATGAAATTAATTCAATAACATTTAGATTGATAATTACGTAGATACGCACGATAATTATCTCTTTGAATGGTAAACATTCGAAGGAAAAACAAAAAATAAAAAAGTTGGAATAAATATCATTTTAAATTTATGTGAAATACGTTTAAAAAGGATTGAACGTGAAGTATATATTATATTTTTCTCTCTCTCTCTCTCTCTTTTTCTTTCTCTCTCTCTCTGGTAAATAAATGATTCACTTATTATTTATGCTCTCTCACGCGATTACAAGAGATAATTCACGGATTACTGATATTTTCGAAAGAGACTAGCTAATTAGAGACGACTCAAATCCGCTTAATAATCGGAACGTATTTAATCCCACATTAGGCACATTCCATTACTGTACGTATCAAACCTAGAGAATTTTCACGTACATATATATATATATATATCCTATATACAATGTTTAATATTATATTACTCGACAAGTATGTAATTATGTATTTTTTTACAAACGTATAAACAATATTGGCTTAATACTTGGTGAATAGCGTTAATCCTTCTTAATTCTCTTAAATTTAAATAAATAACAGTTAAACGTGACAATTCGTTCGATATAAACGACACGTGATTTTCCATGAAAGACAAAGATATGAGAAATTCGTCGAAATTTGAGATATTTGAGAAATTCGTCGTTCGGATAGAAGTTTTCGGATAGTTGAACGATTATACGCGCATCGTTTCGTTAGAATCTATTATCTTTCGTAGTGATACATAGTAGATATCAACTAACTACTAATTTCAATCTTTCGTTCGTTGATTTCGTTCTCGTTAATTTTATTAACGAC